AATACCTGTAATTATGGTATGTTTTGAATTGGTATTCATTTCCATTCACCTTGGGACCAATCGCTTATTAGGAAAGTACAAACACACGGTACAACAATATGATACCGTCTGTATATCAATAGGGGAAGTAATTATGTCATTATATGTAATTATCCACTGATTTGCGTTGCATTATTTAGAACTGAATACCATTATCAAGCTGTATCTTTGGTAAAATATGTTTATTTTTTTCCTATTATCCACAATTTTCATATCGCGAAGTGATTACGGCCGGCCTCTTTAATCAGCTTCAGAAACTCATCGAGGGAAAATAAATGTTGAAAAAATATGGAAGAAATAATGAAACAGTAGATAGAGTAATAATCCATTCTCATTCCATGTAAATATAGTAATAATCCACTCTTCCAGGAGTACGTGTAGCAACGATCCGATTTTCCAAGTGTTTATAGAAATCTTTCTCCAAGAATTATTTAGTAACAATCCCTTCTTTTCCAGGTTGTGTATTGTAACAATCCATTTTTTAAGTGTATATAGAGATAATCTGTTCGTTTTCTAAGTATCTAGTAATAAACCATTTTTTTCGAAGTAGTCAACGGTATTAATCTAATGGTGTATTTCTTTTCCCCCAGGTAAGTGTTCGAGGACTTCGGAGGGCGTGTGGGTGCCGAGGAAAAGCCGCTCGAATCGCGGTCCTCCTGCGGCGTCGGCGTCGGGAGCGCCTCGGGTCGCTCGGTCGTGAGTTTTCGAGGGCGAGGGATGCGGGGCTGCCGGCCTGGTGGAGGGGGGGGCAGTTCAGCGAGGGCCAGGCCAGGGGTGCTTTGGCTGGACGGCGCCTTGTTGCTGCCGCTGCTGCCTGCATGTGCCGGATCATGCGAACTAGAGGAGGTTGCTTTGTTTAAGAGCTCATGGGATGGGACTCTAGGTTGGAAAGGGGGGGGGGGAGGCACGCTGGATCTGTATATGGGATTGGGTGAATGTATTTGTAAATATACTTAAACGTAAATATGTGTGTATATTCATATATATATATATATATATATATATATATATATATATATATATATATATATATATAATATATATATATATTGTGTGTGTGTGTGTGTGTGTGTGTGTGTGTGTGTGTGTGTGTGTAGTGTGTATATATATATATATATATATATATATATATTATATATATATATATATATATATATTTATATTTATTTATATTATATATATATATTTATTTATTTATTTATATATATATATATTTATTTTTTATTTATATATATATATATATATATATATATATATATATATAATATATATATATATATATATTTCACATACATTGCATACATACATACATACATGCACATACGAAAAGCGCGCGGGGTGCGCGCGGCGCACACACAACACACACACACACACACACACACACACACACACACACACACACACACACACACACACCACACACACACACACACACACACACACAACACACACACACACGTTTGTGTATACATGTGTGTGTGTTCCCCCGGAGCCAGGTAGGACGCGAAAGGCCTTCGAGACAGCCAAGCATGCGTAATGAGCGGGCCTTACCTAGTACAGATAGTGCTTCTCGTAGATGATGGCTGGCGGTCACTTGCGGAGGCCTTGGGGGCGCATATCGCGTCGCCGATCATGCTGCGTGGACGGGAAAGAGCGGTGGACGGAGATGGGGAGGTGGGGTGGGGGAAGGGGAGATGGGGAGGTGAGGGGATGGAGAGGTGTGGGAGATGGCTGTTTCGCTAGAGGCGCCGTGCAAGGGGGTCAGGAAAGGAGAAGCCTATGTTATGTGTGTATGTATATGCACATTATATATGTATATCTGTTATATATGTGTATGTATTCATTTTTTTTATATACATTCATTCATATACCCAATGGTTTGTTTATTTACAATCTTGTCATATATTGAATTACATTTCTTATTTTATTGAACAAACCGAAAAGGAAGGCTTCCACCTGCTCACCGCCCCTCGAAGCGCCGTAGGTCTCACATGCCTCCTTCCCTGCCAGCCCTTAGCGGGTTGGCGCGGGACGTTGAAGGGGCGCTCCTTGGCCGTCTCACCGCGCCCGTTACTCGGTTGCCCGCAAGAAGGGAAGTGAGGCGGCGGCGGGTCTTTCCCCCGTTGCTCACCCTTGATCCCCGGGGCATTGAGAAAAAGTTTGCTCGAAATAGTGAAATACAGGGAAATAGGCAGAAAAAAAAGAAATAAAGTAAGATACACGTAAACAGACTTACCATACGTTTTTTTTTTGTTTTGTTTTTTAAGTAACAACATTGAGTCATTGCATGAAAATTGTTCTGTTCTGCCTTTGTTTCATCTCTGTCTTACCTTCGTAATACACACGATTAACTGTGATTTAGGACTTAACAGTTCCTAGAGACTGACGATTTCCTCCATCGCCCGTGTGACGCAATACCCGTTTCTTGTTTTCTCTTCCTGAACTCCGGTCGAGAACAGCT